CTCGCCCGTCTCGGGCCCCGGCGGCCTTCTAGTTTTGTGGTCGTTGCAAGGGAATCGGTGCTTAGAGCTCCTTTTAAAAAAGTTGAGTTTACTTCTATTGTCCGCGTTTTACGTCTTGGTTTTTTTTTTTCTTCTGGTCTTTAATAATCTGATAATTATTAGATTATACAACATCATTAGAAAAATCCAGTTTCAGACCTTTGCAGTAATAATTAATGCCTCTAAAGTGTGTCCGTTTTATATTACAATTACAGTAGACCCTTCTGAAAACAAAATTGACTTTTTCTGATACTGGATCTTCATTAATAAAGTTCACTGTCTGCCTTTGGGGTTGTTTTACATGTGTGTTCATGGGAAGGACAACTTCGTGTTTTTCTCATTCATGCAGGGATCAAAGCTGGAGATACCTCTGTGGCTTGCTAAAGGTCTACATGACAGCAAACGGAAAATCATTTCTGTAGAACTGCCAAAGATTTACAAGGAAGCCTGGAGGACAGTGTTCAGTGCTGATGCCAATGTGGTTGATCTGCATAAAATGGGGCCATACTACTACGGATTTGGCTCCCAGCTCCTGAATTTTGACAATCCAGAGAATCCTGAGATAGCTCAGACTATCCTGCAGGCAAGTATCTGAACTAAGTCTTGAAATTTTTCCATCTCCCTCTTGTTCCCAGCTGCTCGGCAGTCTTGAGGAAAAATATCCTGTTTTAATCCAAATGAGTAATTCCGGACTTAATATGGATTTCTAGATCAAGCTGTAGGATGTCCCCTTTGGCAACTTCACAGTCTAGTGGTGGAAGCCTCAAGTATGCATCCAGGGCTGTAACTTTGACTTGGATTTTCCACACTGTAAATACAGTATTTCATAAAATCTTGTAAAACGGGACTAGAGGAGACATAAGATTATTTAATCATGCCAGTGCTGCAAGGCAGAATTAATTCACCCTTTATTGTTTCTGAGTTTGTGCTGTTTTTAAAGGTCTGTAATGCTGAGACTTTGCACTGCTCTGGGCAATCTGTTTCAGTGCGTTGCCATCCTAAACTTAGGTTTCTCCTAATGCCTAAACTAAAGCTCCTTTGCAGCAATACAAGCTCTGTTCTGTTTGTCACGTACAGAGTGAATGCTGAGGACAGATTATTCTCTTCCCTCCTGCAGCAGTCCCAATCCATTTGGTACCTCTTTGTGGGTCACGCTTTCTAACCTCTGATTGTCCTTGCTGTGTGCTGCTGGTATATTTCCAGTTGATCTGCGTCTGCTGTGACGTGCAAGTGCCCTCAACAGCATTCAGCCTCCTGCTCAGGACTTCCGCTGATGAAAACAAAAAGATTGCTTTGTGAATGTTGTAGGCCATGATGCTCTTTGCTCATCGTGGTGCAGCATCTTGTTTTTCATGGTAGAGCAACACTGGTACGTGTTCGGTTTGCAGTCTGCAGCAAGATGGTACAGGTTGCATATGCAAACAAGCGTTCCTCTTCCTGCGATTGTATGGTTCATTATTTCTGCCTTAGCATAAACCCTTACATTAGTCCCAGCTGAATTACATCCTGTCATTTTCACACCATCTTTCTAATTTGTTGCAATCATTATGAATTAAGAGTTCTGTTCCCAAACATGCTTGTGGTCATCTCTCCTTCTCCTGCATGTTGTTTGCTAGTTTAATAAGCATAACTTCTGTTCCTTTAGTAAGCTTAGTAATTAATATATCAAACAGGACCTGGTTCCAGATAGGCCCCTGTTGAACTTCACTCAGTGTGTCCTTCCCTGCTGACACGAGCTGTGGGTAATTGTCTTTTTGTGGGTAATTCTTTAGCTAGATCTTGCCAGAATGCCCCACGACACACCTACATGCTGCTCCTCCTCCCTCTGTAAGGCCTAGCATCCTGCAATAGTGGGAAACTAGGCTGGGCTCTCAGAGTTTCTTCTTGGCAAGACCATGTTGGCTGTTATTCTCCTCTCTGTTTTCTTGCAGAAGTTTATGTATAGTTTATTTGTTCCGGTATTGATACTGATGGATTTATAATTCCCTTCCTCCCTCTCCATCTCCCTTTCTCTTTTAAAAGATGGATGCCATCTTTGGCAGTTTCTGAACTTCTGTGCTGCCTGAGCTTTTAAAGAGAACCACTAACAGCTCAGACTTCTTTGGCCAGCTCTGAGTAGTCTGGGATGATTGCTGTTGCCTTGCTTTTTCTTTTTTTCTTTCTCCATTGTTTTAAGTGAAGGCTGATGCAGAGAGGCTTTAAAGTGCTGCTGCTTTCTTGGAGTTGTCCACTGAGAGCTTGCTTTCTGCATTGAGGAGGTGACTATACCTTTCCATGTCTTTTCTCTTTCTGCTAATGGACATCTTAGGAAAAAAGCTGCATTGGCACGCATTACTTGTTGGCCGAAAACCCAAAGCACATGAGGTATGCTTTTTCTTTATTAAAAGCAAACAAGAGGGGAGTTGTGCTGACCTAAAAAATAAACAAAACACCAACCCCCCCCCCGCCAAATATTCAGGAACTATAAATGTAAAGTATAGCTATTTGGTGGCAAACCCAAAATGAGAGTTACTGATTTATAATATATTTATTCTGTAAGTAAATCTCTAAAATACTACAGTTCTGATGATTCTGAAATCAGCTTCTGCAATAACAAAGCACAATTTTCAGAGTTTTGACTCTTTTTTTTTTCTTTTATTCCCAAAAACAAAGACAAGGAGGGAAATAAAAATCCTTAAATATGTCTCGTTGCTTAGCTTTTTAAAATGTTATTTATTAGCTGTAGATTTGGTTTCTTTACTTTCTTTCATGTTTTGTTCAGCATACTGAATGCTTTACAGTGACAGTTTGGCTTAACTTCCAGGCTGTTCACAAGTTGCAGCTTCTGTGTTCCTGCAGCAGCTGCTGTGGCATGAAATTCGTTCCACCTGTTCTAAAGCACCGCTTGCTTGTGACGTGAGGTGGAATAGATCGTATTCGTGTTATGCCCTGTGGTCTGCTCAAGCCTGTCATTAGGAAGCAGCCAAAATCTAGTTCCCGGTTTCTTCCCATCCAGCATATCAGGCACTTGCTCTCCCAGCTCAGGCAGGAAATTGTTTGTCTTTGTATCTAGGATTAATGGGTGCTATGCTGTTCGCAGACCCTTGACTAGTTATGAACGAGAGCCTGCACCTTTGGCTTTTCAGTCTTGAAAGCTCAGGCCTCTGGCATTCGAGCTGAAGAAGCCTCTGTGTTACCTGTCAGTAATTCTGCTTGTCTTCTTTAGACATTTATTAGCCGTTTTCGTCGTATCATGGACTCCTCTCAGAATGCCTACAACGAAGATACGTCAGTGCTGGTGGCTCGGCTGGATGAATTGGAGCGAGCCTTATTTCGAGCTGGCCAGAAAGGGCTGAACGACTTCCAGTGCTGGGAAAAGGGACAGGCTTCTCAAATCACAGCTTCCAGTCTGGTCCAGAATTATGGGAAAAGAAAATTCGCAGATGTGGATGGTTAAAAGCCGTAAGAACATGCAGCTACAGTGGGGGACACTGAGACATTTACAGCCTGTCTGTCACAGAAAGATGAATCATCTTTGGGGAAGGACAGGCTCTCTGTCCATTAATGGGAATTCTTCTCTATCTCTGTCTTAGACTAGTGAAAATTTTAAAGGCAGACAGCAAAGGTATGAAAAATAGATCACATCACATCACTGGATAGCTTTACAGCTTACTCACACCACTCCTGAGGATTCGCAGTTAGGTGGCTGAAAGGGTATGAGAGGATTTTCTAAAAGGGTAATTAATATTTATTATTCTTTATTTTCTAAATTGATATTTACCGTACTAGATCTGTTTGGAAAAAAGCATAACTCTATGTATTTCACCCTGATCTTCCCATTCCAGCCTCCTGGGAGCAGCTGTTTCCAGGTTTCACGTTCTTTGGAGAGCCCTAATGATGTGCAAAAAAACGTGGTACAAACTGCATTGAATTTTTCCCGTTTCTTATACATCGAGGTGGAACAGGTAGTCTTTTTGAGGCAGGAATGGTTTTCTTTGCTGACTTTTGTACAGTGTTAGTGCCATGAAGAAAAGTACCTCCTTTAACCTGTGTAGCAAGCAAAGTGGCTGTGCAGGTCTCACATGCCACCTCATCCTCTCTTTCCTTTTCAGCCCTTGCGGGCTTGGTGCTGCATGGGGTGGAGAATGTTCTCGGATGCAAGTGGCTTTTGCGATGAATGTGTCTCTATGATGGGTGTTAAGCTCCTGCGCTTGTTTTACAGAGGAGGCAACAGAAGGCAACACAGAGTTAGTCCGGACAGGGTCAGAAGCAGCAACTTTAACTGAAACTCTTCCCCCATTATCAGCCATCCGTTTTCCCATGAGAAATCCTTCTGATTACTATATTTGGTTGGTAGAGGGGACAGAGCAAATGAACCGAATTTCCTCCCTTCTGATCTGTCTAAATGATCCTAGCAAAATGATCCTAGTAAATGTCATTCTTGCCAGTAGGAGTGACTGGAGTTGGAACTTGCTAAATAGCACAGTGGTTGTCATCCCATGTGGATGCCCTTAAACCTAGATTAACTGCGGTCCCGTTGGATTGGAGACAGAACACAGATGGTTATCTCTGTAGGACTTCATTCCTGCGGCCATCAGGATGGTCGTCCTTTGGAAGCAGGTCTTAGACATCTCATGGGTGCTTCTAAGCATCTGTAGAAGGTGGACCTTGCAGAGTACCCAAGTGGAGGAGCCAGATTGTAATGATAGTGAGAGCTTCCTCTTCTGTGGGAATCCCTGGGAGGTGACAGTAAGATCCAAATCTTGGAGGAGTCGTTACTGGACTTGCAGATGCACCTGGATATTGGATACTTCAGACTGCCGACCTCAAGTACAAAGGGTGCGTGGCCATTCCTTGGCCAGAGGAGTGAAAGCTCTGCCTTTGGAGGTGATGAGAGGGGACAGTGTGCTGGCTTCACAAGCGCCTTGGCGTCTTCTCCTCGGCTGCACAGGGCCAGGTCTCCTGCCACGGGAGACTAATTGGAAGCTGTGCCTGACAAAGTATTTCAAGTACGTGATCAAATGCTGCTGCACTTAATGACTTAATGGCACATAATAGCCCATCCATTTTCATGAAGCTTTTGTCTATTGTCCATTTCTGGATTTTTGCATTGAATAAATATTTTGTAAGGGGACGCTTACAAAAACGTAACGTAAAATGTCTGTTGTTAATTGCCCTGCAGCAGAAAAATTAGGCATAGATTGGAAAGTGCAGGTCTGTACAAAACTGTGGCCATGATAGGTAATGCAATCCTGCTTATATCATTCCTCATCTCTTACAGGTAGCACGGTCAAGAGCTACATCCGTGCAGTCATGCGAGTGTAGAAGTAGTTCTTATCTGACTTAGCCCTCGTGGGTAATAGCTGTTGGCTCAAGTTGTGGGAGAGATGCTGCCAACAAATCAATAAGCTATTGATTTTATAAATTGCATTGTTATGAGACTCCAGATGGGTGGAGGTGATTCTGTGTTACCTTGACTTTGCTGTAGAGTGGTGGGTGGAAACTGGCTGTCTCTGTGTTCGTACCCTGCTGCTCCAAGCGCTGTGGCATAGACTTCACATAGCATGGCAAAGCTGGGCACAGTGCTTCAGCTGCAAGGGAAGCAAGTTTAAGTCCATCTGTGATGAGAAGCATTTTTGAATTGAAAGGATTCTTTTAATGAGATGGTGGCTTTGAGATCTAGTTGGTATATAACCGAAATCACTAGTTCATCATTTTTTGGACTGGTTTTGGTGATTATCCAAACTCATTTTCCTACATTTGTGAGAACATTTTTCTTCTCTACTGCTGGGTGCAAAGTCCAAGCAGGCAGTTGTTCATTTGCCAACATTTTGTGCAGCTACTTGCAGAGTAGGGAGAAAAAAAGTCCCTGAAGTAGTCCTCAATGCTACTGGCTCTTTGTAAGTAGGCAATGTCACTTTTAGTAACCCTGAGTGTTTAGGAATGAGCAGCAGTAAGACCCTTAAAAAATCTGATTCTGTAATTTTAAATTACAGTATTTGGTTAGTAGATTTAATATTATGTTGATTTTTTTTCTTGGTTTTTTTGTTTGTTTGTTTTGTTTTTTCCTTGCTGGCTGGAATGCTATTTTTCTGCCCAGAAATACAACAAAAGAGCACTCTGTACTTTTTATGAACACAGACTGTCTTTTATGATTGCACTGCAGCAAACTGTAAGTTAGAGGAGTTTGAACTTGTGTATTTTCAGAATGGCATAATAAATCCTCATTACAGAAGGAGGTCTGAAAAGGACTTTTAAGTGTCATTTCTGCCCATGTCCCTCAGCTTTTGAACTGGAGGACTGCTGATGTTTATGAGAAAGCAGTCCACAGACACATTTTACAGTATGGCCACAATGGTTTTCACTGCGATCAAATAAAAAATAGGCAAAATTTGAGATGCTGATTAATTATGCATTTGCATAAGAATATTTGTTTGGGTTTTAATGGCCTGTTTTTGAAAAGAGGTATGGTCTGACCTGGCCCAGTCCTTCCCCTAAAGTGAGGAGTTGGACTCAGTAGTCTCCCTCAGCAGTCTGTTCCCAAGCCTGACTGCAGTGTCTGATGACCAAAGCTGGAGCTGTGCACTCACTGACACAGCAGAAGATACAGTCAGCTGAGCTTCCTGGGGGTGAGTTCCTGCTGGAATTGTTGGTGAAACTGAAAGCTTTTCCTCGCCAAAGTTTTACATTAACTTCTCTTAAAACTCTCAGCTCCTCTTGTTTAGCTCTTCTATGTATTTTTTTCAAGCAGGTGAGGCAGCCATGGTGGGCTCTGCAACCAGCAGACACACACACACTTTCTTACCTATCTAAATTACCCTTTCAGAAAACGTTTAATGTTTCTTCCTTGGTTTCCATTGCTCTAAACAATGTCTTAGTTTGTCCTCTGGCACTGATTTATTTTTGGTCAGCAGAATGAAGCAGATGGAAGCAGTAGATGGTGTCATTCCAACCAACGGCAACCAGGAGGAGCAGCAGTAAGAAATATTTTGAGAACTGACATACTGTAACACTACATACTATTTTTATGAGACTTTCTGATCTTGTTCAGTGATTTTTCTACCCATTTTTTGGTGACCAGATATTACAAGAGCTTCATTCAAAGTTTTAAATGAACCAGTTGCTTAACAGAGATGTGAATTAATGAGTAGAGGCGCAGCATGAATGCTTTCTTCACCCAGAGCTCCTTCTGAGCCTGGATGTGCTTTTTATAAAACACATTGTGTGGTAGCACAGCATGTGGCTCAGGAGTTTGCAGTTTTATTTTTAAAAATATCTATTCATCTAGCACTGCCTCTGCCTGGCAGGAGGCAACTCAAAGCTGATCCTTGCCTCAGTTTCTTTTTCTGACAAATGAAGGTAACGCTTCGTTATTAAGAATGTGTTTTGTCCTCTGGATTGTAGGCAGTGTTTTTGATACAACAAATATGCTGGCCAGATTTTCCCAGCTCTGCTGCATCTGCCGGCGCTCAGATGTTTACTTGATAAGTGCTTGTCAGAGCTTTTCAGAAAACTCTCTGGTTTCCTTGATCAGTCTTATTAAATGCTTACTGCTAAGCTTTTTCAAGACTGCCATATATCTGATAACTTAGGATAATAAAGTGTTTTTCCCACTCCCTGCCCTTCTCTCCTACCTGAACAGTGACTTGGCCCTGCACAGAGTGGCTGAACGTGCCATGCTAAGCCCAAGTTTCTCCTCTGTTTCCCTGATCTTACCCACTCCAAAGTGCTTCAACTAGAGTTGACGGCAGCCTGAGCACCAAATGCTGAGCAGAGTTGTCAGTGAGACTGCTCAAGGATAAGATATTGCCTTAGTTTCCTCATGTCACGTGAGTGAGTAATGGGGGAAGGCCATGTACACTTCCAACTTCGTGTCTGATAGGTTTGCTTTGCAAGACTGGCTTTGGGAGCTGAACTGAAGTCTAGTGGGTGCAACAGGCTTTTCAGTGTTTTGTGCTGACCAGGTGATGTGATGCAAGTCTGGGGCAGGCAGATGCTGCTTTTGAAAGAAGCTGTGCCAGTTTGGGCTTCCCTTGAGCGTGTCTCCTGGGTGAAGAACATCTGAGTACTTGCCTTAAGTTGTATCTTCTACCACAGCATAGCTGTCTGAGAGCTGCTTCTTACATCTAGGCCCAGGGGGCTTTTGGGTGTGGGAACAGCCTGATGGCCTTTGTTCTGAAACTAATCCTGACGTGGTGTCAGCAGGACACCGGGGATTGTGTGAACCTGTTGATGTCATGTGCACATTGCTACGGAGAGGATGCCAACCTACTGTGGCTGGGCTGGAGCTGAACATACATGTTACTAGTGTATTGACTTTTTATATAGGACATGATAAACATGTCCTCTGACCCTGTGTGCACAAATCAATCCCGATCTCTTCAGCACTAAGATACTTCTGCAATGAATCAGGGTCAGAGAAACCAGAAACTTCACATTGCGCTCTCTGCTCAAACAATATCTTCATCTCAGCCTACATTAGATATGCGGTTGGGTTGGAGCTTT